AGGAATGGGGAAAAAAAATGCACAAAAGGGAGGTAAGTGTCATGACACACAATATACAGGCAATGATGCAAAGGTGGGAAAAGACAATTCCCAAAATCACGGAGAGGCTGGCTCTTTGGAAAGGGTACTTTGCTCTTCTTCCCTCAGGCTCTGACAGAGCTCAAGTCAAAAGCCATGTGTACAAAACTAAACTCAAAGCCCAGAGGCCTACGGCAGCACGGACACAATGTCTTTTGACTCACTCTGGGACCTTGATCATAGAATAACAGGATGGTTTGGGTTGGAAGGGACCTCAAAACTCATCCAGTCCCAACCCCCCTGCCAGCAGCAGGGACACCTTCCACTAGACCAGGTTGCTCAAAGCCTCATCCAACCTGGCCAAGAACACTTCCAGGGAGGAGCAGCCACAGCTTCTCTGGGCAACCTGGGACACTGTCTCACCACCCTCACACCAAAGAATTGCTTCCTCACATCTCATCTCCATCTCCCCTCTGCCACTTTCAAGCCCTCGTCCTGTCACTCCCTGCCCTTGGCCAAAGTCCCTCCCCAGCCTTCCTGGAGCCCCTTCAGGTACTGGGAGGCCACTAGAAGGTCTCCCCGGAGCCTTCTCTTCTCCAGGCTGAACAGCCCCAGCTCTCTCAGCCTGTCCTCACAGCAGAGCTGCTCCAGCTTGGGAGAAAAATTTCCTCCTAATATCGAACCTAAATCTCCCTCTCTTAGTTTAAAACCATTTTCCAGGCTCAGCAGAAGGGTTTGCACCAGCTTGAACACATTGATGAAGTGGGGAATCATATTCCTGGACCTTGCCTTTACACAAAAGTCAGTCAAAACCAAGCACCAGCCTTAGCTGATTCCTGCTTTGCTTTTCTGGCTCATTGCAAAAAGCTAAAAGAAACTTTGATTGAAAATAAGCACAAATCAATATTTCGGGCCTTCTAAGACGTTACACAGACACATCAGCTGTTTGTGAAGAAGATTCACACTTACAGCAAGCCTTCCCCACGTAAACCAACAAATAGGCAATGGCTTTTCTTCATTACTAATGCACACACGAGACTGTCCAAATTGATGGGCTCTCATCCCTGAAGTCACTGGAGCAGTTCCCATTGACTTCAGAGCAGATCATCAGCTTCCACCTGGATTAACCCTCTTGTTTCCAAGACTTTTTAAAGCTTTATATGAGCTTCCAAACAGTTCAGCCTGAACCAGACCAACTGCAAGTCTCTTCCCTAAGCAGCTTTTAAGAGCAATCCTCTTCCTCATCACTGAATCAAGCATTAGTCCTCATCTTGCAGTTATGAAGGGAAATGTCACGGCCTCCAAAGAGCATTGAGATTCAGTTTTGCGTGACATCTCAGAGTTGTGCGTGACGACTGCAGTTGAAGACGCAAAGGCAGTTCACAAGACTGAATGAGCAGCATGTGTGAAGGGTATAAATAGCATCGTGAAAACCATCCAACAGTCATCAGTAACACGCGTACAACCCTGAGTTAGCCATCCATGAAAGAAGTTTTGCCCTGAGCTCGCAACTCCAGTCCCAACCATACTTGTGAATTTAAGAAGCTGAATAAGAGCCATTTTTTTTACCTCCAGGAAAGCCCAAGATAATATTCATTAACTTTGACTCCCAGATTGCAACATTTTGATGCTTCATACCATGAAACTTTTGTTTCTGAATTTTCCTCCTCACTCTACATCCTTATGCCCCAAAACAGGGTAACAGAGTTTTAGCCTCAAAATCACCCTGCCTGAAAAAGGGTGAAATATAAACAGCTACCCCAAGTTTTGCAGAGGACACACAAATACAGGTCCATATTGGACTATTAAAGAGTCAAAGTTGGAGACAAAACTGGATACTCAAATTCGGCATCCCTAATCATCCTACAAGTTCTCTAAGGAACTCAAAGCCTCCGTCCTGCCCCTCTATTCACAGAATCACAGCATGTTAGGGATTAGAAGGGACCTCGAAAGATCATCTAGTCCAACCCCCCTGCCAGAGCAGGAACACCTACAGTAGCTCACACAGGAACATGTCCAGGTGGGTTTTGAATGTCTCCAGAGAAGGAGACTCCACAACCTCTCTGGGCAGCCTGTTCTAGTTATTCTAGTAAAAAGAGTTCTTTTGCCTGTTGAAAATAGATGGATTTTAGATGTAGAACAGATTTCTACATCTTCTGCTCTTCCAGAGAGCAGAGGAGCCCAAAAGGACCAGACCATACAGTACTTGCGCTGCTGCCTTTAGCTCATGCCCTCCTCCACGGCATTCTCCCTGGAGTAAGTGTGCACTCCATCACACTTGTTTTCTGCAAACAGGTTTCTCACTGCAGCCAGAAGTTCATGCCTGGGTCATGTCATCTGGCAGCTGGAAATATTTCCAAGTTTGACCTGACAGGAGAATTCTTGTTTGGGAACAGCAGCTCACCAGCCCCATCTAGTCCTGTGTACCAGAGAATGCAGACGGTGACCAGCTTCACCAGGGTCTCCCTCCCATTTCGCACCCCACATGCCCAGGCTGACTTTGCTCGTTCATTCCCATCATCTGCTCTTCCAAAAGCACCTTAGCAGGGGATGAAAGAATCAGAGATGACCTGTGAGATGCACAACCACAGCCCCTGCAACACAGCATGAGGTGTCAGCTGCTCCAGAGAGCAGAGCCGTGTCTTCGGCCAGGAACTGGTCACATGAATTTGTGTTATTCAGCCAAGACAACTTCAATACTTTTCCCACTGTTCTGAATTACAAGGCACTTTCACAAGTTTGCCTGAGCCTTTAGCACGCTCTTGCTGTCACTCTTAGCATATGCTGCAGTCTAACCATGGAAAAATCCAGTTGACAAGACTGGGAGCAAGGGGAAAGGCAAGGGAAGACGTGAAATCTTCTGCCCACATGAGATTTTTCCTAGAGCAGACAGATCCTTATTGCTGACAGACAGCAAAAATTTGCTTTAAACTCCAAATCCTTCAACTTAAAGCAAGTGTCCCCTCACGGACACGATAGGTACCTCACCAAGAACTTAAGACTATTGTTTGTCAACCTCCACTCCCACCAGGGTATGCAGAAATCAGTGCACCTTTTGTAAAGCTCACAGGCAGATATTTAACAACCTGGCCTTGAAAAAAATACATTGTTGAAAAAATACATCATTAAGGGTAAAATTTTACCAAGAGCCCAGCTTATGTTCACTGTCCCTTTTCAAGGGAAAAGGCTTATAAGAAGCAATATTTTATAGCCTAAGAAGTGACCCTGAGAATGAATTGGCTGTGCAATAATGTATTTACTGTTTTAAAAAAAATAGTAAAGAATAGCAGCAATGAATACAAACACAGAGCCCTCTCTTATTATAGGGGGATTTTTCTTACCTTTACTAACACCTCTGTAGTTATAGTAACCAAGTCTCAAAGAAGAAACATCTTCCATTCCATTTTGGAAATGCAGATGTAGCAGCATTATATCTATGCATAAATACTAGTAGTGTTATTATAGTTAAATCTCAGCCTTTTAGGACAAATAAAATAATCTTAATTAATCTCAACTGACACAAGAGCTACATACATTTGTAAGATCAAATGTTGATCCCTTTCAGTGTCCAGAAGATGTTGCATTAGCACTATCATCTGTCCCCTACGCATAGAGGTGCTTTGTGCCCCCAACCACATGAACCCACCGGAAATCCTTCCCATCAAAACTGACGTTGGTCCCACTTGACTGCAAGAGCTCCAGAGGAAAGCAAAATCCCAACAAATGCCTCTCACCACTTGCAAAGCACCTGGCAGCCTTTCTGGATGAGGCCAGCACTGGTTGGGGGGGACACGCTGAGCTCAGACCCAAGAGGTTTGTCTCCTCATTCCCTCTCACTACACGCGATCTCCTCGTTCCCAGGAGGAGGCCAGCTGATAATCCCTTCCCCAAGGTGCTCAATACAAACTTACAAGCTTAAAATAATTTTAAATGTTCTTTAGCCAATTATGAAAATCCCTTTAGGAATTGCAGAGCGAGCGTGTGAAGCAGACGGACACAATCCACAGACTGTAAGTAGAGCAGACAAGCAAACAGCTCATTTCCGAGTCCAGCCAGGGGGTAACCAGATGCAGTCGTACCTTAAAGCAGTCCAGATGATGCTGGGGACCATAGAATCACAGACTGGTTTGGGTGGGAAGGGACCTTTCAAGGCCATCCAGTCCAACCCCCCTGCAGTGAGCAGGGACATCTTCAACCAGATCAGGTTGCTCAGAGCCCCGTCCAACCTGAACTGGAATGTTTCCAGGGATGGGGCTTCTACCACCTCTCTGGGCAACCTGGGCCAGGGTTTCACCACTCACATTGTAAAAAAAAAAAAGTCTTCCTTATATCTAGTCTAAAATGTTGTATTAAATATCAAGATGCTATACTATCAGAATCTCTAGC